TTTTTTTTTTTTTTTTTTTTTTTGTGTGTGGGGAGGGGGGACTGCAGCCTTGCAATAAACATTCTGGTTCCAGACGAAAAAGCTATGACGTTATAAAAGTTACGTTATAAAAGTTTAGAGGTCTATACAACCCACTTCAAGGGTTTGGAGAAAGTGCGGTACGGATTTGGTTTTTGAACAGTCATTTATTAATTGGAGTACAAGGGTACTCCTACGTTACAAACAAACAAAAGCAAATGACACAAGGCATAGGAAAGCAACAGTTTAAGAGCTACTGCATAACAATTGCATTGAATGAATGCTGAAGTTTCACCCAATTGCCTTGTGAAAGCATCGTACACAATGCAGGTTCTTGCAGCCAGTCTGAGAAGGCAAATCCCCTGCAATCCTCTGACCATCAGAGCCACTGGTAAGATCGAGACTGGACCATGTCAAACATTGTCTTCATCAAGAGCTTTTAGTCTAAACAATGATTCATTTCTTGCCAGCCATAAAGTCCATGTTATAGAGAACCATATATATCGATTAGTAAATAAGACGAGCTATGCAATTTAGAACGCCGGGCTGGAACGCAGTTTTGCCAGTTTATCCTTTTGGGCTTCAATAGCTTCCCTCACATGGACAAAGAAAACGAAAAATCATGATAGAGGAGGATATTTAATTAGAAAGGAATCACATTGGTTAAAAAAAATAGAGAGAAATCACAACGGGCTTAAAAGAGTTAATTAATGTATGGACATAAGTTAATTACTTTCATTTTATTTTGCAACATACATATCAGAATTTAATTATAGTGGAAGCATAAAGTTACCTAAAAGCATGCTCAATGTCCTTGTTATCAAGAGTCATTGTCTAAGCCTTGTAGAAGGCATCAGCAGCTTTCCAAAAATGCTGAGGTTATTCAAATGAAACTGAGATCATTGACAACAACTCAACAGAAGATGATAAAGTAAAAGAGAACAGTATGTATGAGAAAAAAAAAAAAAAAGGTGAAAGAGAAAAGTCTAGATATAAGCTTACTTTTAACAATCAGAGCCCCACCCTGCCTATAGCATGCCTTAGGCCAGTCAGGCCATATGCAGCAGCAAAGTTCAGCCAATTCTAATGCAAGCCCTCCTTCATTCAAGCGGGGCCAACACAAGCTTTGGTTAGATACTACAGCTGCATCTCCATACTTGCAATATGATGCCTGAAATTATCATCCAAACACTAATCAACAAACCAAAATATAAAACTATAAACACAAATAATGTACGGGATATAAGTTTAAAAACGTAGTATTGCCCAACACTCATTTTAGAAGAAAACAAAATCGGGAAATAAAACACATCAGTATTATTGGTGATGTTGTTGATAGGACATAAAATTTGTCATATTGAATTTGCAGTAAAATTGAAAGAATCAACATTATTTTCTTTGAAAAATTGAAGAAAATAAAGGGTTAAAATCTTATTTTTACCCCCTTTTTTTGTAATATTAATGTATATAAATATATAAAAAAAATATTTTACCATTTGAAACAATCCAAACTGTATTGGGCAAATCATTAAGATCCTCTGAAAAATATTAATCTTGAACTCCACAAGCTTCATTTAAAATTTTGATTGTCTAAAAAAGGGAAATCTGTAATACAACTATTGTATTGGGTTTGCAATATAATTAGACAATGATAATTTGATATGTAAGTAAAATATTGGTGTAAAAAGATTGACTTTTTTCTTACTCATTGAGACCAATGTAAACCACTATACAACCTACTGCTTTTAATATTGTCTCAAATTATTATTAGCCAATTATTCCACGTTCGAAACCTTCTTGCTATTACTATAACTCTTATTTTGTTTCTTGAACTTTATGTTTTCCTCTATTTTTGCCCCTTGAAATTTGATTTAAATTTAATGCTAATTTAGTTAACTTTTGTTTACTTTCATGTCAGAACTAGAGATTCTAACATATTAACAATCAAATAATAGTACCATAAAAAGGATTAACAGTTAAATAACTAGCCAAATAATCCCTCAATTTAAAAATCTTAATTTAAAATTAATGTAAGGAGTTCGAAGTTTTAAGCTTCTATATTGTTATTGTTAAGCATCTAACTTCCAATAAAC